GTCAGATACTTCCTGACAGCTGCACTTCTCAAGGATTGCCAAAGTTACAACTGTAAAAAAGATCTGTTTTATTTACAGTGCCATCTGATATCACGTAAAAGCTACGGACCCTTTACACAATATAACTATCGTAAGTTGACAGGTTCTTCCAACACCAGAATAAACAATAGCAATGACATTTTTTAGGAAGAGGTGATATCTTTTATTAGACCAGGTGATGTAAGTAGAAACAACAGACAAACTCTCAGGCTCACAGTTTGTTCATCAGGTCATAAATAGGTCAACAAATACATCATCTTTGGGGTGCTTCTGATTTTATTTTTGTTTTCAATGACGTTCACGAACTCTCTTTTCATAAATGGATGGTATTTCCTTGACATGACTGCAGCAGGGTGATACAAGGCACACCATGAAACAGACAACAGAGGTGCCCAGATGCCAATGACCAGATGGTCATTGCAGACCCCAAAAGGAAAATCTGCCAATATCTTGTAGCATTTATCATGTCATTACCTTAACAAAAATTAAACCAGACTTTAAATGAGAAGTTTATAAACTTATGAGAAAAAGATTTAAAAATTTGCTACAGGAAATGACTGCAGAAGTGGCACTTGAAGCATGACCACGGCCAGTCTTTTTTTGGCAGAATGAGCATGTTTTGCAGTGTCCCTCTCTCAGGGTGCAGTCCCTAACCTGGGCCAGGCCTCCCTTTGTGAACTCACTACTCAAACGGGGAACACGGAGCAATGGCTGGCTGGGATGAGCTCATGAATCTAAGGGAAGCAAAGGTAGCGCCTGGTGGAGAGCAGGTGTGGTCTGCTATATGAAGGAGGGTTTTCCACTTCACAGCTACTATGCCATATCCATCAATTGTTAGTCTTAGTTGTCTGTCAGGATTAATTCCTCAAACAGAACAATAGCTTCTCAAACAGCAGTAATTGGCAACTTTCTGCTCTCCTAGAGGTCTGATGGTTGCTGTTCAGGATTAGGGAAAATAAAAGTTAACCAGTGGTCCAGTCAAACCCTATCAAGGTATGAAGAACACCGCTTGTTTCAGTAGCTTTGTGCTACTGAAAGGTATCTATGCATCTTCTGCTTGGACTTACTGCAAAACATCTATAATGAAGGAGGAGAGTACTGGCACATGCACCACGTGCTTGCATGTATGCCCTCACTGGGATTGCTAGGCAGGCCATGCAGGCAATGCCTTAGTACAATAATGCTTCCATATTGTAGATGATGTTGTGAAACAAAACCATGTTACAGCACATCAACCAAACTGTGCTTTGGAAAGGAGCATGACAAGCTAAGCTTGCCCTTTGTCCTTGCGTTGTGGTCCTTGCTTTCATTTCCAGAAGGAGGAACTCTGCTCCTGTACTGCTCTTACCTGGGATGCTTTCTGGAACTGAATCCAGGCTTGGGATGCTCAAAGCCTCAAACGAAGGGGCTGCCCATTTGCTGAGATGGGGCTGCAGAAGCTGCAACAATGATATGCCATGATTTCATACCTTCACTGGTTAAATGGAAGATTAGAAATTTGTCCATTAAGGTGGTTTGACTCCACAGGTTCCTGGAAAAAGAAGAATAAGGAAAAAAGACACCTTAGAATAATACATCTCTCAGCAAATACAGAGCGAAGAAACAGAATAAATGCAATGGTTTTGATGACTTTGTTTCCACTGTAGACAAGCTAAATAACATTTAAAACCCCCAAGGAAAAAAACAACCCTTGCATCATTCTAAAGGATTTGAGCAAGGAAAATGGATTGGAAGGAGCTGTCTCTGTGGGTGTGTGTTTTATTTTTATTTTTCTTAAGAAAGCAAATTATCATGTAGCATGTTTTGGCAAGTTAGTTTGTCCAAGCTAAGCTTTTAGGTAAGAAGACACAAGCAAAAGAAAGAGGAAAAGAAAAAGAAAGAGGAAGAAAGAGAAAAAGAATAAAAAAAAAAGAGAAAGGAAAAAAGAGAAGAACTATCACATGAATGTTAATGTCTATGCTGTGGAGTGTGGTGTGTTTTCTCATAGTCAGGTGTGAATGTTAGCTGTGACTTGACATCAAGTTGGCAACTGGGAAACAGCAGCTCTTTTTAAAAAATAGAACTTGTGATGGTACCAAATGCCATCATGTAATTGTCTCACTATATATCTATATAAAATTTTCAAAATCTGTCTCTTTATGGCTTGGACTAAGCTTAAGAAACTGCTTATTTGAGATTTTTTTACTTCATAACCATGCATAAAATCAACAAAGGCTTATGAAATCCTTGTCTGCTCCATTTATTCTGATTTGACTTTTTTCTCCTTTGTTTATAATGCCCTTTTGGAAGCCTGAAAATATTTTTTTTCCACTGCTAATTTTGAAGTTTTCCATTTAGGAATAATTGATTCACCCTTAATTTTTGAACAGCTGCCATTCCAATTTTATTAAATATCTTCTTGTGCCACAGTATCTCTGTTTGTTTCAACACTGCTATTGACTGATGTTCACATTGCTGTAGTGAAAGAATATTTAAAAAGTTAATTTCTGGCACAGGAATGGGAGGAGGAGCACAAATGTATGTATTTTCATATGTGGCACATAGCTACTAACCAGCATTATTTAGCTTTTCTTTTTTCTTTTGGGATAGAGAGGTAGATATTATAATAAACTCTTCAAGAATGCTGCTGGCTGAGGGAATTGCTGATGTCCCATGTGATCTTTTTCCAGCAGATTTTTGGTTCTAATTTGATCCAGATTATGAGTATCTAAAGACTCTGTGGCATATGCAAAATCACTTGACAGTCACAGTCCTGTTCCTAGTCGGCTCCAGGCCACACCACAGAAAGCACAATCTGAAGTATCACAGCTGGCACTCTTTGTGGAAAAGACAAGGATTCACTGCCTAAATTTTCTCTCAGTGGTAAACTTTCTTTAAAATTTCAATATGTCATAAGCAAAAAATGATTTAGCAATAACGCCTGCTTTCCTCAAAAATGACCTTCAAGAACACCATGAGGAAGCACGTGAAGACGCTGCAGGTGCTACAGAAGTCTGGAGAGGAAATAGGGCTGTAGACTCTGTTTTGGTAACTGCAGCACTTTCTAAACAAACAGTCCTAATACTTAGGAACAAAAAACCAACTGGAACAGGTGCCAGAAGCCCCATTTCTGGGTGGATTGGGAAGGAGATAGCAGCTGTCCTCTTGTGAGGTGTATGCCTGAGTGTTTTCACAAGATTTATTTGCTTTGATGCAGTTGGATGCATGGAGTCAGCACAGGTCTGGAAAAGCACTCAGCCTTATAAAACCCCAGAAACAGGAGTGACTGGGAGCAACTCTTGAGTGCTGACTCTGTAGAGCTGGTTACCTCTATCCCATGTCCGTGGCTCTTCCTCCAGTGTATCCTGTACCCATATTTGCACAGTCCTGATCTGCCCTTTACAGAACAATAAGGAGTTGGCTCTATATTCCACAGTAATGACGTCAAAGAATAATAACAATTAGCACTTCATTTAGTATCTCAGCTATAACACAAAGATGTCTAGCCAGCACTATCTCAGGCACATGGGGAAACTGGTCACACAGAAAAGAATTTAATGACCTGGCCAGCCATGAAGTAAGCTATTGCAAAGAGTCATCAGATTTCCTTATATGCAGACCTAGGCCCATCTACCCAAACATTGTCTCACGAAGGCTGTCGTTTAGAGGAAAATTCCTCATATGTAATTTATAATCATAACAGCCACAAAGCCTGCTATGCTTTTGTTCCAATTAAAGTTTTATCCTCTTTCTGCATTGTGTAATGGGGTGGAGGGAGGAGACTAGCTGAGCAGAGCTCTGCAGAATCCCCAGCCAGCTCTCCTGCTCATGCTGAATGACAGCACATGCTTGCCCTTCTGGACGCAGGTGTACAGACAGAGATGCAGATATACGATCAGTTCGTGTCTCTATCTTGTCATTCTTTCTGCATGATGTCAGTAACATTTGGCTTTTTGAGAAAATCCTCGACAGCCATTCTTCATGTCAGTGTCAATTCATTTCAGTCTCAATTATGGTAGCAAATTTTAATTCACTTTGAGAAATGATGCCCACATTTTCTCAGTTCAGAAATGCTGTTGCAAAGGCTGCTCCTCTCGCTTATTGTGACTGTGATTTCTCTATCAACACACTCCTTTTTTATCTCAAACAAAACTCCCTTCTCTCCAGTTTTAAGGGCCCATATCCTCTGTCATTTGCAGTCAGGATCCACTGGCTTTGGCAGAGGTGTGTAAAGCTTGAGCAAATGCCTCACTGCACAGGGGGCCTTTGGGCTTTCATGGCATCTACTGCACTTGGTGTAAATCCCATGGAGGCTACCAGGAATAAAAGCAGTGACACCACCACACACGGGTGGTGATGTGGAAATTGAGAAGGTACAAAGAAAGGATGTACAGAAAGGATTATCAATGCTTATAGATATCTAAAGGGTGGGAGTCAAGTGGATGGGGCCAGGCTCTTTCCAGCAGTGCCCAGTGACAGGACAAGGGGCAGTGGGCACAAAGCGGAACACAGGAAGTTTCAATTGAACATGAGAAAAATTTTCCTTGCTGTGAGGTGACAGAGCCCTGGAACGGGCTGCACATAGACGTTGTGGGTCTCCTTCTCTGGGGATACTCAAAACACGCCTGGACACTTTCCCGTGTAATCTGTTCCTGGGAACCTGCAGTAGCAGCAGGTTGGACGAGATGATCTTCAGAGGTCCCTTCCAACTCATACAATTCTGCGATTACAAATAGCTCAATTGGTTTCTAGGCGTGCTGTTTGTTCTTAGCACACCCTGTAAATGTCATTTCATGTATTCCGGTAGTACGGCCATTTGTCCGAGGGAAAGAGGTGAGGGAAGGGCCCTTTCAGCACAGCAGCATCACTGCAAGCGTCCTTCGGAACCGCCCCACAGACGCACGCAGATTCCTCCCGCGCGCCGCCCAATCCTCCCCCCGCCCCGCCTCAGGCAGCGCGCGCGCGCACGGCGGGCTTTGAACCGAAGCGCTCGCCGTAGCGAGACGGCCTTGCCCGCGCATGCGCAGCGGCGGAGCCGCAGAGGGTGCGCGGCCGGGGGGCGGAAGGACGTTGGTGGGCTCGCGCTGAGGTGAGGCCCCGTTCGCGCCCCTCGCTCCTCGCGCCGCCGGGGCTCCCTCCCGGCCGGAGCTCCTCCCGCTCTTTCTCCGAGAGCCGCCAGCCGCCCCTCCGCCGCCGCAGCCCGTGACCTCTGCGCGTCCCTCGGGCTGGCGGGGACGGGCCCTGCGCCGGCGGGCGCCTTCTGTGAGAGAGGCGGCGCGGCGAGGCTCGTCTGAGCCCGGGCCCGGCGCTGCGGGCTGTCCGTCCCGTCACAGCGGCGCGTCTGAGCCTCGAGGGGTCGCGGGGCGGGGCCGGGTCGCCGTGGTTGTCCTTACGATGCGGTTTGCGGATGCTTTCCTCCCTATCCCCACGTATTTAGCAGGGCGTGGAGCGGTCGGTCCGGCAGGGAAGGGAGCGGGCCGGGCCAGCCGTGCTGCCGTGAGCGCCGGCTGGAAAGAGTATAAGGGCATGTCCGGCTTCGTCACCGTCACGTTGTCCTTGAATGCTGCCCCTTAAGTGTCGAATAGGGAATCTGTGTTTATGTTATGCCGATGATTGTTACACGGCACAGAAGGCTGTGACCTTTCTCAAGCAAAGTGCCAGAAGGTTATTGAAATAGAACTTCTTGTCTCACCGTTCTCTTCCTTTTATTTTTATTTTTTTTGTTGTTTGTTTGTTTTTGTTTTTCTTTGCTCTTTTAGGAAATACGGTCAGCATGTCCTCCGCGCTGTTGCCTAAGCCGCAGATGCGCCGCCTTTTGGCGAGGCGGATGAAGTTTCACCTCTTTGGGGCATTTTTTGTGTCTCTCGGATGTGCGGCATTGTACAAGGTGAGATCAGTTTGTGCAAGGTGAGATCACAAGTTGGGCACTGGAATGGGCTGCCCAGGGAGGTGGTGGAGGACCCTGGAGATGTTCAAGGAATATTTGGATGTTGTATTGAGGGACATGGTTTAGTGAGAACTATTGGTGTTGGGTGTATGGTTGGACTGAGTGATCCTGTGGGTCTTTTCCAACCTTGGTGGCTCTGTGATTCCATGATCACGATTCATTCAGTTATAAACTGGCCTCACTGGAGCGTAAAATTTATGATGCTGCTTCATTGAGCTTTTTCACCAGAAAGCTTTAGTAATGTATTTCTGTAAGCGTGCTCCCAGAACACAAATAAGTCTTTGTAATAAGTGATCTGAATAACCTGATGCCTTATGCTGTGGTTGAAATCATGTAGTTAGTGACAGTTTAACCTGAAGTCTCCTTGTCCTAGGCTGCTTGTGATGATTTCATAGAAGCAATGTTCCTCACGTTAACTTTAGAGAGCTTGTGACTTTGTCACGGTATCAGAGACATTTGAGAGTTCTTACTTTATCTTTAGACTGATTTTGGAAACCATACTCATGAGCAAACCACAAAGGCTGCCCATTATGCTGAGGTGTGGGAGGACTACTGTGGCCCTTTTTTCTTTTGAAGCAGCATCTAGGAATAGAACTTTGTGTTTCCAGAATAATCCTGCTTGGTACTTTGCTTTCTGACAAAGATAAAAAGTACTTGTGGGATCTTGCATGTTACATTTGAATCATAGGGAATTAGGAAACATAAATTCCATGAATGTCATGGAAGAACTGGATCGTGCTTCACTTGCTGAACGAATGCATGCACTATTAGCAGCATTTATATACTTCAGAGAAGGCTCTGGGTAGACCTCACTGTGGCCTTCCAGTACTTGAGGGGAGCATATAAACAGGACGGGGTATGATTGTTACGAGAGTGGATAGTGATAGAACAAGGGGGAATGGTTTTAAACTGAGACAGAGACAGGGGAGGTTTACGTTGGATATTAAGAGGAAGTTTTTCACACAGAGGGTGGTGACACACTGGAACAGGCTGCCCAAGGAGGTTGTGGATGCCCCATCCCTGGAGGCATTCAAGGCCAGGCTGGATGTGGCTCTGGGCAGCCTGGTCTGGTGGTTGGTGGCCCTGCACATAGCAGGGGGTTGAAACTAGTTGATCATTGTCGTCCTTTTCAACCCAGGCCATTCTACTGGTCTGTGATCCAAAATTAAGTTAACGTCAGGTTATCACAAAATCAGCACTGTCAGACTCTGTGGAGACCAACAAATGCATGTTAGAAACAATAAGTTTGCAGAGTTAGTGCTCAGCATCCACTTAACACATCTAATGAGAGGTAGGCAGGCTTGTTTGTGATGAAATTTGCAGTGTCCTTCAACAGTCATATAGTTTTATACTCATGTAGCAGCCTTACATTAACACTTTAGGAAGGCAGTGGACCGTGTTTAGAACAAGTAACTGGTGTCAGTAGTAATTTACTGTTCACAGAATCACAGAATGGCCAGGGTTGGAAGGGAGCTTAGGGATCATGAATCTCCAACTCCCCTGCCACATGCAGGGCCACCAACCTCCCCATTTAATACTAGACCAGGCT